AGGAATGGAAGAAAATGAGAAACTTCTATAGGAGTTGGGAAAGGCATTACAGGGAAAGGAACACATGTGTTAGACCTTGAAGGATGAATAGGATTTTCTTGTAGCCGTAAGAAAGACATCCTATTTGGGTACTGGTTGCTCATGCATATAATCCAAGTCATTCAGGAGGTTGAGATCTGAGAATCAGTGTTCAAAAGCAGCCTGTCTAGGAAAGTTCTTAAAGCTCTTATCTCCAATTATCCATCACAAAACCAGAAGTGGCACTGTGGCTCAAAGTGGTAGAACACTAGCCTTCAGGGACGTGCACCCAGGCCCCGAGTTCAAGCCCGGTGATCATCACTACCACCAACAACAAAAGAAATAGAGTCATCCTAGCAAAGAGCATAATATGGGAAACCCCAGATTCTTCCATCCCCTTCCCTCTCTTGCAATGTACTTTGCTTCTGCAAGTCTGCAAGGAGAAAAGAGGGACAGATTGAGGGGTGAACAGTGTCAATCCAGCCTAGACCATTTCCTGAGGTTCTTGTATATAAACTAGACAGAAAGCCTGGCAGCAGAAGCATTAATATGGAAGTGACCAGGTCACAGAGAAAGAGTAGAAGGGAGAAAATTCATGCAGGCTGCAGCATTTACACACTGGGAAACAGGCCTGGAGCTAGAGCTAGGGTAATCCTCCCCAGTCTCTCCATCTTTTCTCGTGCCCCCGACCCCATCCTATGTCTTACCTGACCATGGCAGATCTTGACAGCAAATTGTCTTTAGCCCAAGGTTCCCATTGGAACAAATGGATAGGACTGGTTGCTGTGGTGCTGTTGGTGATTCTGGGGATTGGACTATGGATCTGGAAGAGGAAGAAGACAGAGACTGGAAAAGGCAGGTGCTGGGGACTCTGGGGTCTGGGCTGGCTGGAGGAGGGGCAGTGGGTTGAGGAGATCCCAGGGACAATGGACAGCTTAAAGTCTGGGGTGCTGAGTGTGGGTATATGTCTGACTACCCAAAGAGAAAGGCCACGGATGGCTCACACCTCTAGTCCTAGTTATTCGGGATGCTGAGATCTGAGGATGGAGGTTCATAGGTAGCCTAGGTATGAAAGTGTAAGACACTTTTCTCCAATTAATCACCAAAAAAGCTGAAAGTGTAGTTGTGGTTCAAGTGGTCGAGCAATTGCCCCAATCAAAACTGTACCGAATTAATGTCCAAATCCAAGAATAAAAAGCGCAGTGTGCATGGTGGCAGGAACAGAGTATGGGTTTAAGACCTGTGCTTCTGGTCCCTGGGACCTTCGCTGCCCTTGATGGATCTGATGGGTGTGTGTTGGTCACATCAATGGCACTGAGGGTCTTCTGCATAAAGTGGGTCCATTTCTTTTCCAGCCATGCGAGGCTGCACAGCTGCTCCCCAGGTCCTTCTCACAGAGGATACTGCTGACGATCAAAAGAGTGGGCTTGCCGTACCTGAGCTTTATGCAGAGATCAACCTCTTGGCTGACCGGAAGGTGAAACTGAGGGAATGAAATCAGGGCAACTTACTGACTCAAACTCAGAGGTTGGGAGTCCCAGGAAGTCTGGCATACTCTGTTCCGCAGTCAGCCTCCAGGTCTGCAACTTCCCTTGGACCCTATGTCTGTGTATCTGTGTACCCACAGCACATGGGGATTAGTGTAGTGATTGGAAGGGAGGCTCCACACCCAGGGTCCCATCAGTCTTCATGGCCATCCCTTGGGGAGGAGCCCAAATGAAGCAAGGGCACCAGCTTGGCGGGGCAGCCCAGGGATGAGAGCCTTAGAGGGCATCCTTACCAGGACAGTTAAACCTGGCTCACAGGGAAGTAAGAGTGCAAAGTGATCAGGAGGCTGTTGGGATGCAACTGATGTGCAAGACCCAAAGGAAGCAAAAGCAGGTCCTGGGAGCTGGGCAGGGCAGAAGTGGCTCTAGGGGAGGAAGACAATTCAAGTAAAGCCAACCCTGATAGTATGCCCTATTGAATCTCAGTCTCTAGCCTCAGGGAGCTCTGAGCCTGCTGGGAAAGGCAAGTCCTCCCAGGACACAAAAAGACAAGAACCTCAGGGAGCAGAGCTGGAGGGAAAGCCAGCTCTGAGGCAGACTTCCCGTTCAGCTTTACCCCCTTGGAACTCAGTTTCCAAGCATGCACATGTGGAAAAAAAGCATCATGGAGATGGTGCTTTACAGCATTTTTTCAAAATCTTTTCTCACTGTGCGGATTCAAGATGGTAAAGACATTTGTTAGAGAACCAACCAGGGCATACTATCCTCTTCAAATCACTCTAATTTGGGCCACAGAAGTTAAGAACAATCATCAATAAAAGTCCTTCTCAATTAAGATACCTCTACTAAGGATGTGTTTTAAGAGGAGGAGGATAATGATACAATAAATGATCAAATTCTGATATATTGAGTGGGGGTATGTGCTAAGGATAAAGCAAAACAAGCAGGATGAATAGGAATATGATCAGATATATATTTGCAGATATATTTGCATGTGCGTTTATTTGCACATATATATTTGCAACTGTTGTAAGGTTATCTAGGAAGATGACATTGAGAAGAGAGAGCCTGGAATAGATGAGGATGTTGGGTGGTTGGTGGAGAAGGCAGAGGACAGAGCAAGTGCAGAGACTGGACTTCAGAGAGAGAGATCTGCACTGATGTTTCTTTGAAGGACTTTTTAGGTGGTGTGGGAGTTAACAGGATGGAGAGCCAGAACTTTGTGGTTGAGGAGGAGAGGCACAAAGGACCTAATTTGACTGTCCCTGTCCCTGAGTCTGAGAAGCTAACCAAGACCACTCTTCAAACCCACTTGAATTATAGGAGGACTCAGAGAGGAGCAGGGGCCATGGGCAGGTTCCGCAAGTCCACACTGCGTATGCATGTATCCAGGAACCCAGACCATGAAGAAACTGGAGCAATGAGGGGCATTGGTAAAGTTGGCTTCACCTCACCCTTTACCTCAGAATCTTTGGCTATCCATCCTTAAGGTGGAGCTGAGACCTGACTCCTTCGTCTTTTTTAAATTAACATCTATTATTTCCTACAAGGCGATTCCATTTTGTCATACCAATATATACATACAATACATCTTCTCCATATTCTCCCACCTGCTCTTCCCACCCCTCCAAAACAACCTCAACAAGTTTCATGCCTCCATTTTTACACATGTACATCAAGTATTTTGACTAAATTCACCCTCTTTCATCCTCTGTGTTTGCCTTCTCTGCTCCTACTAGCACCCACACCTCAGACAGGATATGTTTTCCTTCAGTAGTAGTAATTTTTGGTGACGTGCATGCTGATTGTTCAATGGGGCTTCACGATGGTATTTTACAATGCATATATCCTACAAGAATATATATATATGTATATGTATATATATATATATATTCATGTATCTTTATCTTTTAGGCATGGCATCCACATGTAAGAGAAAACTCATCCTTCTGAACATTCATTCAACATGATGTATTCGAGTACCATCCATTTCATTCTTCTTTATGGATGAATAATACTGCATTGTGTATATGTGCCACATTTTCTGGATCCACTCATCTATTAGTTGTAGGGCATTTGGATTTTTTCCACGTCTTGGCTATAGGGAATGGTGTCATGATGAATGAGTGTGCAGGGGCCTTTACTACATTCCCGCCTTAAATTCCTTTGGCTATATGCCCAAGAGTGGTATGACTAGATTATAGGTCAGTTCTGTTTTTAGTTTCTGAGGAAGTTCTATACCAATTTCCATAGCAGCTGCACTAGTTTACATTCTCACCAACAGTGTATGAGTATTCCTTCTTCCTTCACCAGCATTTATGCTTAGTGCTTTTGATAATGGACATCCTGAATAGAGTCAGATGAAATCTCAATGCCATTTTGGTTTGCCTATCTCTATCTATCTATCTATCTATCTATCTATCTATCTATCTATCTATCTATCTATCTATCTATCTAGAGATGTTGAGTATTTCTTATGTATTTATCCTCCATTTGTGCTTTTTAAAGATGTTTATTTCATTGGTTTGTGTATTTATTAATTGATTTGTTGATTCTTGTATGTTCTTGTATGATTCTTGTTGATTCTGTATGTTCTGGTTATTAATACCTTGTCAGAAACAAAGGAGGAAGCAACAATGCTCGATAAGAAATGTATTCATTATCTGGCCCATGTAATTGTAACCTTTCTGTATGGTATTTTCACAATAAAACAAATAAACAAAACAATAACAACAACAAATACCTTGTCAGATGTATAGCTGAAAAAAATCTCCTGTCTGGAGGATGTCCCAGCAGACTACTATTTCCTTTCTATGCAGAAACTTTTTCCTGGTCTGGGGTTTGAACTCAGGCTCTGGGCTCCATCCTTGAGCCCCTCTAATTTCTAGACTAGAGCTCTGCCACTTGAGCCACAGCACCACTTCTAGCTAGGTTGAGTATGTTTTTTTGTTGTTGTTGGTGGTGGTGGTGATGGTGGGGCTTGAACTCTGGGCCTGGGCACCGTCCCAGTACTCTTCAACTAAAGGCAAGTACTCTACGCTTAAGTCACAGTGCCACTTCCAGTGTTGTGTTGGTTTATTGGAGATAAGAGTCTCAATTACTTTCCTGCTGGGCCTGGCTTTAAAGGCAATTCTCAGATCTCAGCCTCCTGAGTAAGTAGGATTACAGGAGTGAGCCACCATTGCCTGGCTCTTTTGAGTAGTTTATTGGAAATAACAGTCTCACAGAGTTTCCTTCCTGGGCTGGCTTAGGACAGTGATCCTCAGATTCTCAGCCTTCTGAGTAGCTAGGATTACAGATATAAGTCACTGGCACCTGGCTACAGAAACTTTTTAGTTGATCAAATCTCATTTGTTCAAATCCTTGCTCTTATTTGCTGAGCTATTGGAATATTCAGAAAGTTATATCCTGGGCCAAAAAATTCTAGTGTTTTCCAAGTTGTTTCCTATAATAATTTCAAAGTTTCATGTTTTAACATTAAGATCATCATCCAAGCTGAGTGCCAGTGGCTCCCACCTCCTGGCTGAGATTTGAGAATTGCATTTAGAATCCAGTCTGGGAAGACAAATCCATGACACTCTTCTTCAATTAAAGCAAAAGGAGGGAAATGGAGGTATGGCTCAAGAGGTAGAATTATGAATGAATAAGTTGAAGAAGCTGGATTGAGGTTGAGGTCAAGCCTCAGCCCCAATGTGTGTGTGTGTGTGTGTGTGTGTGTATGTGTGTGTGTGCACGTGCATGTATGCGCACACATGCATGCATACACACACACACACACACACACTCAGGATCCTTGATCCACTTTAAGTTGTATCTGTACATGGCAAGAGACAGGAATCTATTTTGTTTTCTGCATGTGGCTATTCAATTTTCCCAGCATCATGTTGTTCAGAGGCTAGGTTTCTCCAGTGTGCATTTTGAGCTCCTTTATCAAAAATCAGAGAGCTATTTAGTGTGACAATTCATTTCTTGTTCTTGTAATCTGTTTCACTTGTGTTTGTGTTTTCATTACTAAGGCTCTGTAGTTTAATTTGAAGTCTAGTTTTGTGATATCCTCAGCATTGTTTTTTTTCTTCTTCTCTTCTCAAGATTGTTCTGGCTGTTTGTACATCTTTTGCGCATTCAAATGAATTTTAGGATTCATTTTTCTATCTCTGTGAAGAGTATTTGGATTTTGATGAGTATGTCATTGAATTTGTAGTTTACTTTTGTTCATTTTCCTGATATTAATTTTAGTGATCTATCAGCCTGGGAGGTTTTTCTGTCTTCTAGTGTCTTCATCAATTTCCCTTTCTTCCTTTCTTTCCCTTCCTTCCTTTCTTTCCCTTCCTTCCTT